TTTAACAACTGTAGCGATTCATTTAACAACTGTGGTAAGAAAGTTCATAAAATGGGACAAAACTCAATTGAGAAATGTCTCACTTAGCAACAGAAATTTTGGGCTCAAATGTGGTCTTAAGTCAAGGATCACCTGTGTAGGACTGTGGGATTCTTGGTCCCTCCAAGAGCAAAATATGAAGGAATCTTGGTTACACAAGTACTCCATGCACTGTCCCTGAACATAGCAATTCCTAAGAGAAATGCCTTCCCCTAAATTGCTATTGTGGCTAATGAGAGATCAAAGCAGGATCCTCTTCCTATGATGGCCATGAAAATCAGTTTGGAGCAAGGTAGGGAGACCTCTTGATCAATGGATGCCCAACGTCAAATAGGTGATGAACCAGAAAGAGGAGGCTCTTACCTGGTGTAGAATGAAAGAAAGGAAAGTCGGACAGAGAACCAAGAAGATGGGTTTTGGTGAAGAGAAAGCAGTGCTGGCAGTCAGGGGTGGGATTCTACCAGGACCAGTTCTACAGAACCGATTGTTACGATTCTCTGCAGTTCGGAGAACCGGCAAATTACACCACTGGCTGTCCCTCCCCTCCCCACCCACCCCACCCAGGAGGCTTTCCTGAGGCCCAGTCAGGGGTGGTATTCAAGGGGTTGTGGGAGGGAGAAGTGGCCTGAGAGCAGAGCTGAACCTTCTTTAGGATTGAAGCTTCTATTTTTCAGTGCAGACTCAGGCAGCAGATTTCAGAAAGGTAGATCTCTGAGTGAATCTGTGATTCTTCAAGCAGCTCAATCGACCTGCCTGCTTTGCCTGATTTTGGGTAAAAGTTGCTCTTTTTAAAAAATAAAAAAAATTCAATCTTGACATATATATTTACAATATTTACATACAAGCCACGCCCAGCCAGTCACATGACCACCAAGCTACACCCACAAATTAGGCCATGCCCACAGAACTGGTTGTTAAGAAATTTGAATCCCACCCCTACTGGCAGTGCTGGCATTTTTATCCCTAGGAAACCAAACATCCTTGCAGCAGACCTCATGCAGGTTCCCAGTAGCAGCAGGAGCTGGGAAGGCACACCAGAACTCAGACCTTAGAATTGAAGATGCTAGAGCACTTCCTGTCATTCCCTAGAGATGAAGAATGGGGCGGGGACCAAAAAGCAGAAGATACACTCATAAAACAGATAGAGGACAAGAAGCAGGAAGAGTACCTGATGAGAACTTTTGGACTTGACAGAGAAGGCATGAAAAAATTCCTACTCTCTTCGAAAGCTCTAAACAAGATTCAGCTCAAGGAGATTTAGCTATCTTGGTAGCAAGATTATAATTCTGATTTTTCTATGGCAAGGTCTATAAAGTATTATGGAACAAATAGACTTTCAAATTAAAATGGACCTCTTCCTAATTACAGCCTTGGGGAAATGAAAACAATTTTACCCTGACATTTCAGAGCTTAACATCCTTTCTGCTGCTGGTGTTCTGCATTGTTTTATTTAATTATATTTTTGTAAACACCGAAAAGACATTAAGAATGGATATTGTTTCCGCATTTATTTGCGGAAACAAACAAACAAGCCAATCAATCAATCAATCAATTAATTAAATAGCAATTTGTAGTAATCCAGTACCATTCTTAAAAATACTCCTGGCTTTTAAAATGTTGAGAAAACAGTTGTTCAAATGGAAGCTGGTATTGAAACAATCTTAATTGAAAGTACCAAGCTAGTGTCGGCTGGGAGGGCATTTCATGGGTGAAATCTCATTACCTTAATTGGGTGAAGAGTTTCAGAATATTTAGGATTCAAATAAGTAAATACAAGTAATCCTTGTCAGGGACCAAAATTGGGACAGGTAACTCCATCGCTAAGTGCCACGATCGCTATGTGAAATATAATGTGATCACAATAAACTTACAGCTTCATTTCCCCTTTGGTTGTTAAGCAAATCCTCACAGTTGCTTAGCAAAACATTATATGACTGTGATGTATGTGTTGTGGTTAGCTGGCAGCAGGTGTGGATGGCTGAGGAGAGCGAGGAGTCAGATGAGGGGCCAGGACCATTAGGGAGTGGACTGCTGCCTTCAGAGATTGTGGGGGATGGCAGCAGTGGTGAGGAGGTTTCCGAGGAGCCTGTGCCAAGTGTGCGTGCGCGCAGGATTGCTCGCAGGAAAGAGCAGCTACAACAGCATGGGCGACTCGGGAGTAAGGCTGCAAGGTAATGGCCCCTCCTTCAAGAAGATAAAAGCCAGCTGTGAAACGAACGTTCTTTGCAGAAGGCAAAGACGTTTTGAAACTCCGGCCTCGTGGACATTCCACTATCCTGAGTTTGTATTTGAAGATTCTTGTATTGCAAATCATTTCTTGTCTGTTACCTTTTGGCAGCCTCGCACAGTTTGGCAAGGCTTGTGCTTATCACAGGTAATTGTTTTGCAGAAGCATTAAAAGGTTTCTGTTCCCTTTGGATTGTGTTTGATTTGTTAGAAAAGGGCATGGGTCAGAACAGTATGTTTTCAGTTCTACCTTCTCTATTAACTTTGTCACAAGCCAAGTTGGGAAGTGCACAAAGGCTGCTCGTGTAATCATGGGACAGTGTGATGGTCGAAAGTGCAAGTGCAAGAATTGGTCACCATTCTCTCATAACGTCTCTTCAATTTTTTTTTAGAATGTCCTAACTTCAAACAGAAGTTAAATGATCACTTCCTGTTATGGGAGCAATCTGTGCTTTAGGGAATCAGTCCCAGTTTTTGTGACGTTTACAAAATGTTCTCAGCGCTTTTAATTAGTATTCCTCCCAAATGTGATCTTTATCCACCTTATTGAACAGGGGCAGTGTTGTAGAGCGATGGTAAGGAAGAGGCATGAGACCAGAGCGTACAACTAACAGGCTTCATTGCTAAGAATAAAGGGTTGTCGCGTCTGCTTGCTAACTTGCAGACCAGCGGGCGACAACAGGCTGGCTCTGCCCGACAGCCGGCTTATATAGCCGGCTGTCAAACGGAGCCAACCAATGGGAGCTGCTGGTGCTCCCGCTCAAACAGCGGACCTGATTGGGGACTCCAACCAGTTCCACAGACATAACAGGCAGGCAGTTAATTTTACCAAGGGGCCACATGTGAAACTGGGACTTTGGGGGAGGGTCGAACCAATAGGAAAATTGGCCAGATAGAGACAGCCAAAGGTCTGGATGTGGCCTGTGGGCTGTCATTTGCCCTGGTCTGTTTTGGGGGAAGCCAAATGTTTTTTCCTAGCTCCACTAGTTGTTGCAATTGTATTCACACGTGGTTAACTAACAAAGAAGAGGTGAATGTAATCCTATGCTTAAGTCTCTTGTTCCAGAAACTGTGAATGCTCCAACACTGGAAGTTTTTAAAAAGATGTTGGATAACCATTTGTCTGAAGTGGTGTAGGGTTTCCTGTCTAAGTAGGGAGTTGGACTAGAAGACCTCCAAGGTCCCTTCCAACTCTGCTATTCTATTCTATTCTATTCTATTCTGTTCTGTTCTGTTCTGTTCTGTCCTGTCCTGTCCTATCCTATCCTATCCTATCCTATCCTATCCTATCCTATCCTATCCTAT